AAATCTGTTGAATTTCAGGGGCAACTGGTTAGCTGTGGCTTGCAGGGTCGTTGACGGTGATTGAGACGGCGGCAGTGATGCTGCCACAATGGATGGTATTCACTTTCCCTTTGAGAAGCAAGTATAATACCATGAACCAATGTCTACAGATCACGCAATCCGCCATGTAATCAGAAAAAAGTTTTAGTAGCGTTTTTTATTTTTTTTATTTTTGTTTACATCTTCTTCCATCGCTTTGGGATGGCTGTTTTTTAGCAATTTGATGTTTTTTATGAGCGATTTTCATTTTAATTTTAATTGATTACAAATTTATTATATAAAATGAAGTGCTTTGTGATTGGAATAAGTTTGTGCGTTTGTTTGTTCTGGCAAAAGGCCTAAAATGTCGTGAAAAGTGTTATAACTTTATTTATAATTAAATAGTTAATGGGTTAAAAATCAAACATTTCCTTATTTAATTTTGGTAAATTTATATTTACATGTGTGAATATTACTTTCGATTTATCACAGTTTTTTTTTTTGTACTATCGATAGCCAAAAATAAAATATCGATTGACATTTCTACAGCTCGTATCGTTTCCTTGGCATGAATTTGACATATCCGTCGTATATTAATCTAACACGTCACCTACAGGCAGAGTAAATCTAGACGAATAGTTGATAAAAAGTGGTTTTAACATCATTCGCACTAATTTTAGAGTATTCTAAAGTCATATATAAATATACGAAAAGATGGTGAGTGCAAAAGATAGTCAGTTTGTATAAGATTTATGCTTGAAATTCTATTTTCTTTACTCGTCTTTTGTGCAGGTTTTGATAGCTGCGGCGGTGTGTACGAAGAATGGCAAAGGTATGAACCGAAGTGTACTGTAAACCAACCAATATATAAAATAATAATAAAAATTCCCATTAACAGTGATTATATCACGGCAATTTGTGGAGATGACTAAAGCGCGAATCGAGGGACTGCTTGCTGCATTTCCGAAGCTGATGACATCCGGCAAGCAGCATACGTATGTAGAAACGGAATCAGTGCGGTATGTTTATCAACCAATGGAAAAACTTTATATGCTTTTGATCACAACAAAAGCAAGTAACATATTAGAAGATTTGGAAACATTGCGTTTATTCTCCAAAGTGGTAAGTTCTTATAATACATTGTGGTATAAACAAATGTATTGTGTATCTTTCTTTTTAGATTCCCGAGTACTCTCATAGTTTGGATGAGAAAGAAATTCTGGAAAACGCATTCAATTTGATTTTCGCTTTCGATGAAATCGTTGCACTTGGTTATCGTGAAAGCGTCAACTTAAAACAAATCAAAACGTTTATTGAAATGGACTCCCATGAGGAAAAGGTATATCAAGCAGTTCGCCAAACTCAAGAACGTGAAGCACATCAGAAAATGCGAGAAAAAGCTAAGGAGCTGCAGCGGCAGCGTCTAGAGGCAGCTAAACGTGGTGGTAGTTCTGCGTTAATGGGACGAGGTGGGCACGGTAGTGGCAGCAGTAGTATGGATGCATTTGGCATTAGCTCTAGTTCAATAAGCAGTGCTCCGTCGATTGAGTCTGATTTGAAACCAGCCGTTCCAAAATCTCAGTAAGTCACACATTTATTAATTCAGATTTATTCCATTTACAATAACATCTCTTTTATATAGGAAACCAGCTGCACGGAATGCTTTGAAACTAGGTGGGAAAAATAAAGATGTCGATAGTTTTGTTGACCAATTGAAGAGTGAAGGAGAGAAAATTTCAAGTTTGACACCGATTAGCGGTCAAAGTAGTGTGGCTGTAGCCAAGACAAAAATTGCTTCAGACGTTCACACTGAAAGGTTGCTAATGCTAACTAATGCTGACCACTTCACACTTAATTCTATTCTATGCATTTAACAGTGTACACCTCAAGATGGAAGATAAGCTTACTGTGCGTCTTGGTCGCGATGGAGGTCTCCAACAATTTGAGCTCTCCGGTTTATTGACGTTGCGTATTTCCGATGACAATTTCGGACGCATCAAACTAAAATTGCACAACAACGATGCCCATGGCATACAATTGCAAACACATCCAAATGTCGATAAAGAGTTATTTAAGGCGCGCTCAATTATCGGGTTGAAAAATCCCGCTAAACCATTCCCATTAAATACCGATGTAGGTGTATTGAAGTGGCGTTTCATAACACAGGACGAAGCAGCTATACCCCTGACAAGTAAGTATAACGATCATTCATGATTTTGATAAATAAATTAACTACATGTATTATTAATACAGTTAACTGCTGGCCATCTGAAAATGGCGAAGGCGGTTGCGACGTAAACATTGAGTATGAATTAGAGGCACAACATTTAGAATTGCAGGATGTGTCCATCTCCATACCACTGCCGTAAGTATCATTTAGCAATTCTAAATTTATACTTAGTTCTATTTTTTATTTTATTTACAAAAGTATGAATGTGCAACCATCTGTTGCCGAATACGATGGCACTTACAATTATGATGCACGAAAGCACATACTTCAATGGAATATACCCATTATTGATGCCAACAACAAATCCGGTTCAATGGAGTTTAGCTGCAATTCGTCAATTCCTGGTGACTTCTTTCCACTTCAAGTACGTACATACATACATGTTTTTATAGAGCGTTCATTTGCAATATCTACGTTATTTATTTTCAGGTGTACTTCGTTTCGAAAACTCCTTACGCTGCTCTAAGTGCCACAGATGTATTCCTCATTGATGACGAAAGTTCAGTAAAATATTCAACTGAAAATATACTATTTGTAGAAAAATATGAAATTGTTTAAAAATTGGAACGTTAATCAAATAAGTGTAGTAGTTGAAATCATCTACATTTATCACTCAATTAATGGAGAAAACTGCGTGAAACGTATTTTTGCAAATAACATTCATAAATTAATTATATAACCAGAACACTTATAACCTGATTTATGTATACTGTTATTATTTACTAGCCCACATCGATAGAAACAATTATGCTATTAGTTATTGGAAAAAGTATGTAGATGTTATTGGGCTGGCCATGCATTTTCGTTGATAAATAGTGGCAGTATAATACAAATTCCAAATTTTTTTTATCAATCTTATTTATAATTTAAAAAGTCAGTTTTGTTGCCTAAACACCACACATGTTAAATGCATTAATTGCAATGATTTATAATGCGGATATAATCGTAAATAAATAAATATATATATGTACTCTAGGTTAGAAAAGTAGTTTTTTGTGGCATATATACGTAAATATATATGGGAGGGAAAATAAAAGTGATTAATCACCCTCATTGCGAGAGTCGTGTCGAATGCAAGTCGAGAGTCGAATCGTACCGAAAATTTCACGTCATTGCCTAAAATTTCCACTCGACTAATTTATTAAAACAGAAAAACTTGGCAGCACTGTATAGTTTTCGACGATTTTGGTCGTTTACTTATTTCAGTACGACAATAGACAATGCTACTGTTGTCGAGTGGTACGATTTAGCCTAATTTACGACTTACGCAATGAGGCTGAATTGCATTAAAGTCATGCTTGCATTACCAATGGCCCCAGTATTAGGGAGGTATGTGCTTGTTTGTAATGGAACTTGTAAGTTCCTAGATGTGAATTTTTGGAAAATCCTTGCAATCAAAGTTTTATAGCGGTTTGACAAACATATTTGTTATGTGTATTGTGTAGATATGTCAATCGAAATCAGCGAACGTAGTATCATCATGATACAAATAATTTAATCGTTAATAGTGGACTTATACCAAGAACGATCGTTACGTTTTGATTTTTTTTTTTCGATCATAAAATATCGGTTTCTTCTGATGCCAATGCAAACGCTCCATTATATTTTCTAAGTACGTAATTATAGCATGAAATTTTTAATGCGCTTGCCTATATTTATTCGCCTTGGATCGGTTCATACACATGATAGCCAAGCTCAGTAAAGCCATTGAGTGCTGTGTGGAAATATGCTATTATATTCATTTGTTTTGCCGTACTTAAAATCGCTTTGTTTTGATTGTTTTGTATTTATCGATAACTGTCTTTGTACTTTGAATTAATCGGCTAAAACAAAGTAGCATCAGCTGATTGGACTTCTTTGTTTACGTTTATCTCAGGCCATAGTTGTAGAATTCTGCTATATATAAAAATAATTAAATAATGGAACAACCATTGGAGAAAGTGCTTACTGAATTGTGAGTATTTACATACATTAGTTGCGTTCCAGATTCTTCACGATATTCACGATTTGCAGGAACAGCTGTTTTATCCATTAATAAACCTTATGGAAGGTGGTCACCTGGAACGACTTCCTGTAAAAACCTGCAAATTGTGAAGCATGTGGAACGCAACTATTGTTGCTGCAATAAAGACGATTTCTTATGCTATCTCATTACTTACAGTGCTTCTCAGCCGGAAACAGTGGGTGTGCTGCTGGCTAATCGTCAAGGCCTATGTTTGGGAGGTAAGCATGAAAATTAAGTTTTAAAAACTGATTTCAAATACTTTTTTTTAGCAAAAGGGAAAATAAATCCTAACATGTCGGGAATTGGTATGGCCATCTCAGAACAGGCGTGCAAACTGGAACCAAATTTAAACCCACCAGCCATTTACCTGTACAGTGGGAACAAGTTAGTCAAATTTAATAAAAAATACCAAAAATTATTCTAATGATAGTTTGCTTGCAGGCGATGCATCATAAAAAAGGACGGAGAATTGACCGGTGTTATTTACAAACAGAAACCTAATTGAATGCAATGTCTAAGGCGCTGGTGCAGTGCCCTTTTGATCATTCAACGAGATAAACCACAAGTGCATGTGTAACCTGTAGATATAAATTACATAAAAGCCAATCTTCCTGGAGTTTATTCATAAAACTGTCGCTTTGTGCAAAATTCATAGTACATACATAAATATAAATATTTCTTTATGTTCTCATTGAGTATTTATTAGGAAATGTTTTTTTCGTGGAGATTTCTGAGAGTCCCAAGAGTAATCTACAATTTTGTGCGTACATCTGAGAGTCTGAGATAGGGACTGAGTGAGGTGTTGATGTCATTCACATGTCTTTTGCGGCGCCATTCCCACGCCAATGACAAAACTCATCGCATGATTATTGCTTGGGAATATCGGCGTTCGTCTAGCTTGAAGTCATATTTAGAATTCTTTTTAATATTTACAATGTTTTCTAAGCAACATTTTATTTGTTATATTTTTTATAAAAATATGATGCAGTCTCTAACAAAAACCATATAAATCAAACCTTCATTCTTTAAAAGAAAATTTTTGGGTACGCAGTTACAAGGCTTATACAATTTTAGTAAAATAAGTGCAAGTTTTGAGCGGCTAAAAAATCTAATTAATTTTTAATAGTTTATTTTTTGTTTACGTCGTTTTTTCCACATAAACATAAATTCCTTGTGGCAGAAACTGCGCAAAACCATTTGCGAAAAGATAAAAAAATCAATGCCAGTTTTTCCTAAATTTCCCTATTTATATGAAAAAAAAGCCGCAACAGCCGTCAGCCAAAAAAAAATTGTTAAAAATCAATGCGATTTGTTAGCCGCACAAAGCTTGCACTTATTTTATTAAATAACTGCGTACCCAAACATTTTAAATAATTCCATTAAAAGGCTCAAAATTTAGATACAAATTCGTGGAATTTTTCTAAATTCTGTATAAGTTTTGGAAAGTAGGTTTATATTGTTTTTTGTTAGAGCATTAACCATATTTTTATAAAAGACAACAAAAAAATTTTAGCTTGATAAACATTGTAAATGTTTTGGCATTTGCATATTCGTTGCATTTGTAAATTCGCATCAATAAAATGCAATTCCAACCGCAAATCCAAAACCATTTCCACAACATCCTGAATAGGGTTGCCAGATTTTGAAACAGAGAAAGGAGTACATTTCTATTTTCGATAGAAAAAAAGCAGTACAAAAAGTTTGCCACCCCTAAATCTTAAGTATTTTTGCAAGGCAATTTTGAAAGCTTTTTTTGGTCTTTTAATTTTTCGTCATATTTTCGGCATTTACAGTCGGATCTTATCTCGTACAAAATTTAGAAAAATTTCAAAGTTTATAATAAAAAATTGTGGGAAAATTTCGGTATGCAGTTCAATAAAGTACAAGTTTTAAGTGTCTCAAATTCTGGTTGATTTTTGAGAATTTTTTATTATACGATGTTGCGCATTTTTTCCATATGTATAAAAAAACTTCGAGCCTACATGGAAAAACTACTTAAGAAAAAAAATTTTTTAAAGTCGCCGAGGATTTTGGGCTTATTCAATTTCACATTATTACACTAAATTAAATGGGCTCTTAAACTACCTGATATTTTCTTAAAATGTGTATGAAAATTAGTCAGCCTTATCACGGTTTCCATGAAAAGTAGCGTAGAAGGACAACATCAAGAGCTAGAAGTTTTTCAATAGTAAGACAAACCATATTTTTCATTCCCTCGCTAAATTACACATTTCCAAATCATACGCTAAACGTGTGTCGAATGCAAAACGAAAGAAGGAAACAAAGCCCAAGAGTATGAATACGTTCATATGTGTACAACACCGTCAGCCAAAAAAATTATTAATAAAAAAATTATAGTTTAAAAAACTAAAACCTTCCTATTATAATTGCCATTCGTACTGTCATCTGGTATGTAACTTGAGAATAGAAACCGCTGCATCTTTTAGGCTCATCAATATTACATAGTTACATCCGAGCTAATAAAAGGAAGGTAATAAAAATTACCGCAATTTTCCAGAGTCTTGAAATTTGCATTTTAACCTAATAACATTTGATCGTCTATAATGGACACACATATAATTTTTCAAAAAATGCCGAATAAAAAGTTTCAAGTTTTTGGGTGTAATTGCTAAAGTTTTTTGAATTTTTAACTGACTTCAAAAAAAAAGGAAAAATAGCCAAAACTGGTCAAAATGTCACCTAAAGCAGTGTTTGCATTATTCAACTTTGCGTTCAACAATTGCGTTCAACTCAACGCAGGGTTGCACGAAAAAAAAGTTGAATGGCTAAATGTTGGCTGGCGACCAACTTTGTTGAAAGCGATTAGTTGAAAGGCCATTCAACCAAAAGTTGAATGCAAAGTTGAACAATGCAAACACCTTTTTATGGCGAATATTTTGATATTTTTTCATATTTTGATATTTTTAGCCATTCAACTTTTTTTTCGTGCAACCCTGCGCCGAGTTGAACGCAAATGTTGAACGCAAAGTTGAACAATGCAAACACACTTTAACTTAATCAGTTTACTCCAAGTGTACATATATGTATGGATATATGTATGTATGTACCGATATTGAACTTGTATATGTAAATGAGTGTTTGTAAGTTTACACGCACGCAATTGCAAAGGGTTTGGCAATTTGGGTCACGCCTTTACCGCTTGGTTTGATACATACATATGTATATACTACATATGTATGTATCTATATACTAGGACATTCAATCCCGAAGATTTTTAACAATCCGAGATTTCGGTATGACAAAAAATCGTATCCCGGTATCCCGGGATTTTTCGAGATTTCGACTTTATCACAATTTTTGCATTTTGCAGTAGGCTCACCGTTCACCGTTAACCGATTCTTTTGCAGAGATTCAATTTCCACTACATCACACCAAAAAAGTAAAATGAAGATGAAGAAATGTTTTCAATTGCTACCATTTTTTTGCATTTTCTGAAATTCACTTCCAAGTTCAATTTACTCAAGCGCACTTCGAATTCCAGTTTTAGTGTTCGATAATTCTCGTTTTCATGTGAAATGCTCGAGAATTATTTTTTTTTGTTTTCAACAACACTTTCATTCGGTAGTAGAGTTCACTCTTTGATGCGAAACTGTGTGCGTTTGAGCGAAAGTGCGAAAATCGACAGTTTTTTACAACAAACATATGGCACCGTTATGGCGCCGTTTCGCACAAACGCACAGCAAATCAACAAAACAAACGCTAATTTTTGTCTTTCGCATTTTCGCATCAAACAGTAAACTCTACTCGTATATAAATTAGAAAAAATCTCGGGATCTCAGAGCTGTAATCCGGCGATCCCGGGATGGAATACTGTATTATGTATGTACATATACACACATCTGAAGCTATGAATACTATATATATATATAGCATGTACTATGTAAGGACACTTTTCTGTGCATCTACGCATTGTTTGTATACATATTTGCCTTGTGTGGTGAACATAGTAAAACAAATGCGCATGCGTGTGTGAGTTCTGTCGCTTCGCTAACGAGTTTATTGTAATTTTTCTGCATTCGCGACAAGTGCGCGTGTAGGCACGCATAGTTCGCATTTCTCTTTGCATTTTGTTTACCGCCGGCGTTGTGGCATTTATATAGCTTCATGCTTGTGAACGTGTGAATACTTTCACCTTTCAAATTTAGCAGAGGAGTAGTGTAAAAATGTGCTTCTAACTATTTTTCAAACATACATACATACATACAATATTTATAAGGGTGAACCCACATTTTTATGTGCATTTCATTTCCCTTTTAATGCTTTCTCATCTAGATATGCACCTATGAATGTACATATCGTCGTTTAAAGTGCTAAACTGCGTATCAGCAAAATGCAAAACCGCGTATGTGAAGTTGTAGAAGTTATTTTCTAGAG